GGGGCGCTTTTGGAGAGAGGGGGGGGGGGGGGGATGTAAGCAAGAGGCGATGGGTGCAGTGAGAGAGTTCCTTATCCTTCACTCTGAAACTTTTGTGCATTTATTTTTACACGTCCTTCATCAGGGAGTTTGACAATAAATTAAGCAGAAAACCTTAAAAACGTTCGCATTGAGTATCCTGTTAAAGGGCAGAAAGAGATGAAAATGTGAAGAAAATAAGAATGCCAAACATCAAAGCAAATAACGTTGAGCTCTGCTCAGTCTACCCTCAGATGTGTGCTGACCCACCCCACCCCCCATGCATCCCTAGAATTCACTTCATTTTAGGGGGTGCAAATTCTTTGTGGAATTGCAGAGGTGTCCCAGGGGTGCTCAACCTGGGAAAATGGGATGGTGGTGGTGGGGGGGATACCCCCAGCCCTCCCCCAGCCAGTGGGTAGTACACTCAGGTTTCTTTCTAAGTTTTCCACTTAATCTGATTTCTGCACACAATGCTAATACTTTTTGCTAATAAAAAATCAGCAGACAGCAGTCCTGTGTGCATGCTTATTTGAGAACGAGCTCCACAGGGCTTAATTTACAACCAAGTAAACAAGCGGAGGACAAGCTTGAGCAGCCAGGAAGGGTGGGAGGAGAGGAGGGGAAACCTTCCTGATAGGACCGTCCTGTGCAGAGGAGAAGAGGCAGAGAGGTGGGGAGGGAGGAGGAGGAGGAGGAGGGGGAGGCAGTGCTCCTGCTACTGAGCCTGGGGGAGAGGGAGGAGTTCGAGTCCAACCCTCCTCTAGAAGGTGGAGTCGGAGGTCCTGCGAGTGGGAGTCTTCCCCAGATCAGAGTTCAAGTCCGCGGAGGGAGGGAAGGAGGGAGGGAGAGGGGCTCACTGCTCCTCTAGCCAGGACGGCTTGTCTGCTCCGGGGCTCTTCAGCTTGACGCTGAACTGCTTCAAGCTCTGCTCCAGCTGCTGCTGGTTGCCGGCAAAGTAGGCTGAGATGGCGTTGTGGAAGAGCAGCAGCTGCTTGTGCATCACCTTCACCTGGGGGGAGGGAGGGAGGAAAGCCTGAGCAAGAGGCTTCCCCCAGCCACCCCCCCCCCCGCAGGCCTCCCCTTTGCAACCTCCCCCTGCCGCCAGGGCAGCAAGCCAGGCCCAGCCTGAGCGCAGAGACCGCCTCCAGGCAGCAAGGGCTAGAGGCAGGGGTCCCACCAGAAACTTAGCCAGGCCCCCCTTCCCCCCCCCCACCTCCCGGTGCAGGAGCGAAGGGCAGAGGGGCTGCATCCAGCCAGGAGCCTGGGCAAGCCGGGTGGGGGGGGGGTGTTAGCCATCCTTTCCTGGCACCTTGTTCTCCTCCAGGAACTTCAGCTTCACGGCCACATCGGCGCGCAGCTTCTCGTACTTGATGCGGTGGGCCTGGAAGTTGGCCTGCGCGGCATCCAAGCGGCAGAGCGTGCCGGCGTCCCGCGGGCCCAGGTTGAGCTCCTCCAGGTCGGTGCGGTAGGCGTCGTACTCC